TATAAATATAAATGGAATAGGTAAATTTATATAATTAGATTTCTCTATATTTCATCACATGTAAAAGTTGAGGTTACTAAAATCTTTTTGGTAACTTTTTCTCTTTAGTTTTTTTTTAAATTTTTTAATTAAATTTTTTTTTTGAAACCCTAACGAAATTATAATAAGAAGGAATATTTTATTTTTTAATTAAATCTTTAATCTAAACTCTAATGTCACCAAATTTCTTTTCTAAAACTTAAAAATACCACATAATAAAAATAATCACTCCCTATATATTAGATACAAACATCTATCTTGTGCAAGAATATTTTTATAGATTTTTCTTCAAAGGTTTATAAGAATTTTTTAACTTTTATTTAATTTAATTTTTATTTTTTATAATTATTTATAAATTAAATATTAATATTTTAAAATAAATTAGCAATAAATAAAAATAATTTTTTTTATATGTAATCATACTTTAATCTATCATATAATTACATAAGTAATTTGTCTTACATGGGATAGAAATATATATCTAGAAAAAAAGACATTTTTATTTAGAAGTCCAATTCTAATATATAAATTTTTAAATAATGTTTATTTCATAAGTAATAGGAAAAGAAAAATAATTGTACGTAAGCATGAATTACTTATTAATTATGAGAAGAAAAGAAATTGAAAAAATACATTTTATGATTGTGACCGATTACAAATCAACTTTTATTTGTATAAAAATCTCTTAAAATTAAATTTTTTTTATCACTTTTTAAAGCCTAAACATTCTTCCCAATCTTGTCAGGAAAAAACCAATTAAAGTTTATTTTTTTTTAGCTCCAATTAATCTTCTTGTTAGTTTATGCCGGATATGTCCATCTCTGTCAAATATATATGTATAAATTAAATCAGTAAAGTAAAACATTCCAAGAGCAATTCATGTATGTGTATATATATATATATATATATTGCCATTATGCGGTGTTGTTATTACCGCTATGCAGTACTGTACTCCATGCTGATAGGAGTTGTTGTAGGCCGTAAGGCTGAACTGTTGATCACTAGAATTAGAGGAAATATTTTTCGAAATTCCTCATCCCATTGTGTGGATTGAGTGGCTGTGGTGCTCTTAGAGCCTAATTTGTTGAAAACCCTCCTTGGAAAGCTGACCCTTGGAGAGGTAACTAGCTCTTCTCCTCTAAGTTCTTAGTGGTCCCGTGTGTGGGTAAGGTCGAGGTACACGTGTATAAAGCAACCACAGTATAGGGGTCAGGTCGAGCTATACCGATTACAAGCGACCAATACTAACTAATATGCGTGACGACGCATGGTGTGTTTACTGCTGTTATTGCTAATTGATGTGAGATGTGTGCTGTGATATACTATAAACTGATGTTGTTAAGCTGGTTGATGTGTTGATAGTTGTAGTTGTTCACCATTCATATTTTTATATATGTATGTTGATTCTTTTCACTAGCTTACCCTTTGTTATTTTCCATGTGGTTTGGACTGCGATGATCATACTATGTATGGGAGCAGAGCAGGGCTAGATTAGTGTGATGAGGAGAGTCTGTAACTGACAGATGGCGTTTGATTTTATCAGATCACACAAATTGTGGTGAGATTTATCACATCTTACACCGATCATTTCACTTTATCTTATTTATTGGTTACATTGCGAATTGAAGATAAACATCGTATTTCACAAAATGATTCTAATAAAACCCCTTTTTCAGGCTAAGGCTCATTTAGTGAAAAATGCTAATAAGCCTAAACAAAAAAATTTTAAAAAATATGGTTTTTCCAATAATAATAAATTTGGTCAAAACTCTCATTTCTCCAAAAATAAAAACAAAGCTTTTAATAACAACTACAAACCAAAGAGTAAAATTCAAGGAAATGAGTCCTTTTGCTTTGTTTGTGGAAGAAACAATCATTTTGCTAAAGATTGTTTTCATCGTCGTCGTCAACCAAAAGATGTTACATCTGATCCCAAATCATCGTCTCAGCCTCAAGCTAATGTTATTACCGCTAATGCTAGCTCGGATTCCCCATCTAACAGGTATCATGTCACTAGCCCAGAGTTAAATTTTATTTATAACTCAAATGATTGGTGGATTGACTCTGGAGCTAATGTTCATGTGTGTGCTGATAAAAAATTATTTTCTTCATATCAGGAATGTGGCACAAGTACTGTAAGCATGGGGAATGGGAGCCTAGCATGCGTCATTGGTCTAGGCCGAGTAGAATTAGAATTATCTTCAGGAAATTGTCTTGTTTTAGATGCAGTTTTTCATGTTTTTGAAATTAGAAAAAATTTGATTAGTGCTGCTTTGTTAGTTCAACGAGATTTTAAAGTTTTTTTTGAATCCAATAGAGTTGTAATTTCTCGACATGGTTCTTT